GGCAAATGTTCCCTTGGGCAAATTTTCCCTGGGCAAATGTTCCCTGGGGCAAACGTTCCCTGGGGCAGATGTTCCCTGGGGCAAATGTTCCCTGGGGCAGATGATTCCTGGGGCAAATGTTCCCTTGGGCATATGTTACCTGGAGCAGATGTTCCCTGGGGCAGATGTTCTTTGGGGCAGATGATCCCTTGGGCAGATATTCCATGGGGCAAATGTTCCCTGGGGCAGATATTCCCTGGGGCAGATGCTCCCTGGGGCAGATGTTCCCTGGGGCAGATGTTCCCTGGGGCAGACGTTCCCTGTGCCAAATGTTCCCTGGGGCAGATGTTCCCAGAGGCAAATGTTCCGATCAGCAGATGTTCCCTGGGACAGATGTTCCCTTGGGCAGCTGGTCCCTTTAGCAGATTTTCCCCTGGGGCAGATGTTCCCTATGGCAGATATTCCCTGGGACAGAAGTTCCCTGGGGCAGATGCTCAATGGGGCAGATGCTCAATGGGGCAGATGTTCCCTGAGGCAGATGTTCCCTGGGGCAGATGTTCCCTGGGGCAGATGTTTCCTGGGGCAGATGGTCCCAGGGGCAGATGTTCCCTGGGACAGATGCTCCCTTGGGCATATGTTCCCTGGGGCAGATGTTCCCTGGAGCAGATGTTCCCTGGGGCAGATGTTCCCTGGACAGATGTTCCCTGGGGCAGTTGCTTCCTGGAGCAGATGTTCCCTTGGGCAAATGTTCCGAGGGGCAAATGTTCCCTGGGGCAGATGGTCCATGGTGCAGATGTTCCCTGGGGCAGATGTTCCCTGGGGCAGATGTTCTCTGGGTTAGATGTTCCCTGGGACAGATGTTCCCTGGGGCAGATATTCCCTGGGGCAGATGCACCCTGGGGCAGATGGTCCCTTGGGCAGAAGTTCCCTGGGGCAGATGTTCCCAGGGTCAGATGTTCCATTTGGCAGATGCTCCTTGTTGCGGATGTTCCCTGGGGCAGATGTTCCCTGGTGCAGATGTTCCCTGGTGCAGATGTTCCCTGGGGAAGATGTTCCCTAGGGCAGATGTTCCCTGGGGCAGATATTCCTTGGGGCAGATGTTCCCTGGGGCAGATGTTCCCTGGGGCAGATTATCAGTGGGGCAGATGTTCCCTTGGGCATATGTTCCTTGTTGCAGATGTTCCCTGGGGCAGATGTTCCCTGGTGCAGATGTTCTCTGGGGAAGATGTTCCCTGGGGCAGATGTTCCCTGGGGCAGATGTTCCCTGGGGCAAATGTTCCCTGTGGCAGATGTTCCCTGCGGCAGATGTAACCTGCGGCAGATGTTCGCAGATGTTTCCTGTGGCAGATGCTCCCTGGGGCAGATGTTCCCTGTGGCAGATGTTCCCTGGGGAAGATGTTCCCTGGTGCAGATGTTCCCTGGGGAAGATGTTCCCTGGGGCAGATGCTCCCTGGGGCAGATGTTCCCTGTGGCAGATGTTCCCTAGGGCAAATGTTTCCTGGGGCAGATGTTCCCTGGTGCAGATGTTCCCTGGGGAAGATGTTCCCTGGGCAGATGTTCCTGGGCAGATGTTCCCTGGGGCAAATGTTCCCTGTGGCAGATGTTCCCTGCGGCAGATGTTCGCAGATGTTCCCTGTGGCAGATGCTCCCTGGGGCAGATGTTCCCTGGCGCAGATGCTCGCTGGGGCAGATTTTCCCTGGGGCAGACGTTCCCGGGGTCAGATGTTCCATGGGGCAGATGCTCCCTGGGGCAGATGTTCCCTGTGGCAGATGTTTCTTGGGGCAAATGTTCCTTGAGGCAGATGTTCCCGATGGCAGATGTTCCTTGGGGCAGATGGTTCTGGGCAGATGTTCCCTGGGCAGATGTTCCCTTGGGCAGATGTTCCCTGGGCAGATGTTCCCTGGGCAGATGTTCACTGGGCAGATGTTCCCTTGGGCAGATGTTCCCTGGGGCAGATGTTCCCTGGGGCAGATGTTCCCTGGGGCAGATGTTCCCTGGGGCAGATGTTCCCTGCGGCAGATGTTCCCTTGGGCAGATGTTCCTTGTTGCAGATGTTCCCTGAGGCAGATGTTCCCTGGGGCAGATGCTCCCTGTAAAACGGCTATGATCTCTCACCGGGAAGAGTTCATAGCTCAGCTTCACGTGTTCATTACTTAGCAAGATTGCAAACTGAACATAGATCAGATACGAATGTCTGTACAGCTTCATGAGACCATTCACTTCCTTACGAGTCTGTGTTCGGTGTGTTAGCCTGTGGGAGCTTTAGCTTTCCCGAACTTCGCTGTAAACTATATCGTGTTTCTTCGCATTTATTTTTGTTTTTGTATTATTTGTATAAATAAGCCTACGGAAATTAGTGATAAAAAAAAATTGGTAGGGAAAAATTCGTTAGGCACTCCCACAGATCGGCACTCGAGCAACCTTCTGGAACGAATGAAGTTCCAGTAGCGAGGTTCCAGTGTAATTAGCCTCGAAGTTGATAATTTAGTTAGGAGCATTAGTTCCTCCAGGACACTTCTGAAACTGAAGGAAACAGTAAGCCTCTTCAGTCAAGACATCGTTTTCGGCCTCAGTGATGTCAACAGCATCACAGGCTACAGTTAAATGAGCCAGATAGGTGCTGTTCCGCCATCTTACAGTACTGCAATACCTACGTCAATGTTAGAAGATTACGACTGAGCATGTCGAGGTGGTCATAAGTGGACCATCGCCCACAACTACCTAATATTTCGCTCACGACCCATTTGTAGTATTATTTTTATTATTATTGTGTTCCAGCCATACCCAAAATCCCACATATTACTAGTTCTCACCTGGAGTTTACCTGGAGAGAGTTTCGGGGGTCAACGCCCCCGCGGCCCGGTCTGTGACCAGGCCTCCTGGTGGATCAGCGCCTGATCAACCAGGCTGTTGCTGCTGGCTGCACGCAAACCAACGTACGAGCATGAAACATTAAACATTATTACTCACATAACTAATATAACATTGGTACCAACATAAAATATAAAACATTGATACCCACTTAGCACATGTATTATTAGCTCACTCATAACATTGTAACATTTTAACCACATAACATCTAACACTTGTACCCACATAATATGTATAGTATTATTAGCTTTTACATAAAATATTATTACACATTACACATGTAACAGTAGTTAACTCATAAATTGTGTAACATTAGTACTGACACAACACAGGTATCCACAGAGCATATAAGTACAACTTGGGTAGCTTGTGATAATTCTGTCTCCCACAGAAAGACTGAGGAGGGCGAGTCCCACTAAACCAATCTATGGCATCGCTGGTGGAGTAGACGCCTCGCATCCCAGCTCGGTAATATTGTCTTCCATTTTTTAAGTTACCCTTGAATACAAACCTTCCTTTCTATATGGCTAACTTATTATGCTGGTTTAAATGTTACCCACTACTTAACTAATCTTGTTTATATAATATATATATATATATATATATATATATATATATATATATATATATATATTATATATATATATTATATAGATATATATATTATATTATGTATATATTATTATTAGCACACTGGCCGATTCCCACCAAGGCAGGGTGGCCCGAAAAAGAAAAACTTCACCATCACTCACTCCATCACTGTCTTGCCAGAAGGGTGCTTTACACTACAGTTTTTAAACTGCAACATTAACACCCCTCCTTCAGAGTGCAGGCACTGTACTTCCCATCTTCAGGACTCAAGTCCGGCCTGACGGTTTCCCTGAACCCCTTCATAAATGTTACTTTGCTCACACTCCAACAGCAACGTCAAGTATTAAAAACCATTTGTGTCCATTCACTCCTATCAAACACGCTCACGCATGCCTGCTGGAAGTCCAAACCCCTCGCACACAAAACCTCCTTTACCCCCTCCTTCCCAACCTTTCCTAGGCCGACCATTACCCCGACTTCCTATCCACTATAGACTGAAACACTCTTGAAGTCATTCTGTTTTGCTCCATTCTCTCTACATGTCTGAACCAACCTCAACAACCCTTCCTCAGCCCTCGGACAACAGTTTTTGGCAATCCCGCACCTCCTAACTTCCAAACTAACGAATTCTCTGCATTATATTCACACACCACACATTGCCCTCAGACATGACATCTCCACTGCCTCAGCCTTCTCCTCACTGCAACATTCATCACCCATGCTTCACACCCATATAAGAGCGTTGGTAAAACTATACTCTCATACATTCCCCTCTTTGCCTCCAGGGACAAAGTTCTTTGTCTCCACAGACTCCTAAGTGTACCGCTCCCACCTTTTCCCCTCATCAATTCTATGATTCACCTCATCTTTCATAGACCCATCCGCTGACATTGTCCACTCCCAAATATCTGAAAACATTCACCTCCTCCATACTCCTCCTCCAATCTATTCCAATCTTTTATCACCTAATCT